CCGTTCAGACACGTGCCTATAAAGGAGGACAGCTTCTCTGATCTCAATCTGCATCTACTGATCGCCATTGTGTCGGTGTCGGTGATCTTTCTGCTCAGTCTCATCAGTTTAATAGCTGTCAGATGCCACAGGACAGACGGTTCTTTCAGCAGGTACAGCGCCCCAATGATCACCACCCACCCTGACGGGAGCTGGTCTTACTCTAAAGCTGCTCAGCAGTATGACGTGTGTTTCAGCTCAGACACACTGAAGAGTGATGTAGTGGTTTTCCCCGCAGCATGTCCACCTGTAGATGCTGAACTCATCAGTATTAATGGAGGAGACACTTTTACCAGAACTCAGACTTTACCTAACTCTGATAAGGTAAGAATATATTTTAACTTTTGTGACCTTTTTTTAAGGTTGTAAATGGAAACTGCAGCTTCAGCTTTATCTTTTATCTTATAAATCTTGTAAAATACACAATAGTAAAATGTCAAGGTCAAAGTAATTTTCATTATTGGCACTGACACCTCATGTTGTACATGTGGTGGAAAGAAAGTTTGTATACAGGGTTCCAGTTATATCCAACAAAAGTGTAAATTGTAAAAGAAAAACAGTAAAAAAATAAAATAAAAATATCCAAGAAATTAAATAAGAAAAATATCCAATCCAAGAATAAACACTAATAATAATAATATATATACACAAAAACAAACGTATGTCATACAACAGCAGCACAAACATGAGTGTGAGCAGATGAGTATGAATGAATACAGCAGCATGTATAGTCAGCAGAACATATCAAAAATCAAGTGGCTTTACAATGATTTATTTATGTTTTTTTTTTTTACTTTTCACATTGATTATCATGGTTAGGGATTTGTGTGTGTAACAGCTTCAGGGTAGAAGCTGTTCCTCGGTCTAGTGGTTCTACTCTTAATGCTCCTCAACCTCCTATCTGAGGGGAGCAGGGCAAAACATGTGTGTGCTGAGTGAGTGGGGTCCTTCATGATGCAGGTGGCCCTCCTCCTACATCTGGAGGTGTAGATGTCTGTGATGGTGGGGAGACTGACTCCAACAGACCTCTGTGCAGCCTTCACCACTCTCTGCAAAGCTTTTCTTTATGCAGCTGTGCAGCCTCCATGGTTTGTTTGTTCCGTCTTAAATATGTTTGTTTTTTTGCAGTTATATACTGTAATTTATCAGAGGTGTTTTCTCCACCTTGCAGTATGTATTCATTTATTTTTTGCTTTCATCTAACACACCACTGTTTGTGGTGCTAAATCAACTTCCACATGTTTTCCCTTCTTTGTGTTGACATATTTGTATTTTTTTTTTTACTTAAATTTACTTCTATTTAGGCCAACGATTCAGTTTTTGTTTATAACATTTTATTATTGTTTTCATGTTATGAGTCTGCTGCACTGACATGTTCAATATTGTTGCACCAAGCGATAATGTAATGATTACATCAGGACCTATTCACAGCTATTCTGAAATGGTTATATTCCATTTAAAAGCACAATATTTTATGCAAAAAATGAATATAGATGGATATGACGTTTCAACGGAAAATATTTTATGTGTGTGTGTGTTGGTGGGGGGTAATTTATATTTAAGCATGACTGTTCCTAACAGAGACAACTTTGCACAGCTACAAACATTACACATTTGAGCTTCATGCATGCTTACTTTGTTTTTCTATATCAATAAAAACATATATAGGTCTTTCAGGGGAAAACTATACTTAACTCAGATATTTTAAAATAATCTGAATTAAAACAAATCTTCATTAAACGGATTTTTTTTTTCAGACATTTAGATAATTTATTTGAAGTGGTTTGGTGATGGGTGTAGTTTCACCTCATGTCCACACGGGGACAATGTAGACCGTCACATCTGAGCTTCCTCTTCTTATTCTCTGAACTCCTCCCTGATGAAGAGGAGGTTGATGTTGTGCCGACGTTTCAGACAAAGAGAAGCAGAGATGCAGGCTGATCTACATGAGGACATTTTGCTTGATTTCATGGGATTTCCATTGTTTCTTCAACTGGATTGAATCTACACATGTGCGTCGTTTTGGGACCTCTTTGTGTTTTGCTTTGATTGGAATATGTATTTTCCATGCCATACGAGCTTTGCGTGGATTTTTCTCGTCTGTGTGCTGCTGGGATGTGTTTGTGAAACAGTCTTAGGCCAGCTCTCATACTCCGTCTTTGAAGAGGTGAATGTGGGGACTGTTGTTGGAAATATTGCCAAAGATCTCAACCTTAACATCCAGGAGCTTGAATCTCGGATGTTTCAGATTGTTGCTGGATCAAAAACAAAATATTTTGAGGTAAATCTTAAGACTGGTGCGCTCTTTGTCAATGAGAGAATAGACAGAGAGGAGCTCTGCGTTGATGAAGGGAAATGCTCACTCACCTTTGAAGCAGTAATTAACAATCCGCTGAAACTGTACAGAATTGAATTTGTCATTTTAGACGTAAATGATAATTCACCAAGATTTCTTAGTGCGTCTCAGGTAATCAACATTGGTGAAAATGCTGCAGCAGGGACAAAATTCCCACTGCATCCTGCACGAGACGTAGATGTAGGGAAGAATTCAGTCAACACCTACAAGCTGAGTCAAAATGAGCATTTTTCAATTGTTACTCCAAAAGGAGAGCGTCTAACACCCGAACTGGTGGTTCAAAAGATTTTAGACAGAGAAAAACAGTCTATAATTCAACTAGCACTGACCGCTATAGATGGAGGAACACCTGCTAAATCAGGCTCAATGACAATAATCATAAATGTGCTAGATAGTAATGATAATGCACCAGTTTTCAGCCAAACTCTGTACAAAGCCCAGATACATGAAAATGCTAAGCTGGGAACTTCAATTTTAACAATAAATGCTACAGATTTAGATGCAGGCATGAACGGACAGGTATTTTATTTGTTTAGTGAAGTAGGTCATGGAACACAAAGTCATCTTTTTACTATTGATGAAAAGACAGGGACTGTAACAAATATAAAGAATATTGACTTTGAAGAGAAACATGCCTTTGACATTCGGGTTCAGGCAAGTGATGGAGGCTCATCACCTCTCACCTCACATGCCAAGCTCCTGATTGAAGTTTTAGACATGAATGACAATGCTCCTGAGATCACAGTAACTTCCCTGTTAAACACTGTGAAAGAAGATGCAACCATCGGTACAGCTATTGCTCTGGTGTCAGTATCAGACAAAGACAGTGGTAAAAACGGATTAGTGAACTGTAAAATTGCAAATGCTGCCCCATTTAAATTGGATTTAAATTATAAAAACTACTATTCATTAGTGGTGGATGGTCCTCTAGACAGAGAGAGTGAACCTCAGTATAACATCAGCATCACTGCTACAGATGAGGGCAGCCCGCCTCTCTCCAGCACCAGAATCATTCAGGTCCAAGTCTCTGATGTCAATGACAACAAACCTCATTTCACAGAAAACACAATAAATGTTTTCATGAAAGAGAACAGCCCATCAGGAGCAGTGATTAAAAAAGTGACAGCTGTTGATGCAGATGTTGATCAGAACGGTCAAGTGATTTACTCACTTTTACATGATGACAAGAACTCTCTGCCAACAATGATAAACATCAACTCTGAAACAGGAGATATAATCAGTCTGCAGAGTTTTAACCACGAGGAGTTGAAAACATTTCAGTTTAAAGTTCAGGCCACAGACTCTGG